GGAGAACCTAGCGAGAGAACATGGCTACAGAACCTGGCTGGAGAACCTAGCAAGAGAACATGGAAACAGAACTTGGCTGGAGACTGTGGCTAGAGATCCTGGCAAGGCTGCTGATCAACTGAACGCTGTCTCTGTGTCATTCCTTCTTCGCCGACTCCGTCCACACCTTTGGGGACCCCTGGACCTGCTGGGGTTGGACCCCAGCAAACACCACCTACAAGTACTAAGTAATTTTTAAATTTAGCACTCTATCTCTTTCCACATTTCAGTCAGGTGAATGTTTTAGCTGCATTAGAAAAACCCATATGTAGTGTTATCAATATCCTCTCTTTAGAAGTCCCTAAACTAGAGCACAGTTCAAAGCAGAATGCAAATCCAAGCAGGTCTGTGCTACAAAACCCAAAAGCATGCCATGAAGATTGCTGAATTTCCACTACCAACAAACATTCGTAATATCAACCTCAACTATCTCAGTGCAGACAAACATGATTAGCAGGCTTGCCAGCAGCTGGGGTCCAGCAGACCAGTGCATGGCAACACAGGTGGGAGAGAGTGAGCTAAGGATGTGGAACAAGGGACACACCCATCTTGCAAACAAAAGCAAATATCAGATTCGGTATCATCTTTCCACCAGGTTGCCCAAGGGCCAGTAATAACGTACAATCACTTGATATTTTCCAGGTCTTTTGAACCTGGCCACCATGGACATATTAAAACATTTGTCAGAAACTGGACCTATCCTATCTAATAAAAGAGTAATATGCAAATTAACTGTCACTCTGTGACAAAGATGGCAGTGCCCATAGCAGTGGGGGGAGGGATAGGGAGGGTGGATGACGCAGGTGGCGTTGCCCTGGTGATGCGAGCCCAGCATTCTGCACCATGGCCACACAGAGGGAGGGGCCAGGGGCCAAGCATCCTGTGCCCTGGCCGCGTGAAGGGAGGGGCCTCTGGCCAGAGACTGGAGCGCAGGATGCTGGTGTCATTGCAGGCCGTGCTGAGGGACCCCCCCGGCCCCCTGCATGAATTTCATGCACTGGACCTCTAGCTGTTTTATAAGACAGGAATGGCATTGAGTACTATCTTTTGAATGTGTGCACTTGCTTAATGCTTGTGTAGTTTGTGTGGTTTTCCAAA